GTCGTTTTCATTGCGAGTCCCCTTGCTGTAATTGCCGATACAAGAGGTGACAGCGCTGCCAACTTTGCTGTTGAAGTTCCCCACTCCGATGACAAGCGTTTGTTTGCTTGTCCCATTCCATACGGAAGATAGTGCGTCGTAGAACTGGTTTATGAGCTCAGGCTCTTCCTTTGACTTTGGGTTCGTGGGTCAATGCACCACGACAAACCAAAGTGGCAGTGATGAGTTCTTGGCTTGTGGAAATGATAGGTCAACACAGCCCACCAGATCCGACAGTTTTCTATTTATTCTTGAATTGCACATTTCAAATATTTTTGAAACAGCGAAGCCAATTCCACCATGGCTGTCGTCTGTTAGGCCAAAGCTCGCTAGCCTGTGGGTTTTACTAACACTTCTGATGAACGGATCCTTTGTTCTCAGCTCCCGGAGTCCACAGAAGTCGACCCGGTGCGTTTGCAAATCATGAGCGAGTTGTCGGTGTTTTGAGTTCGAAAACAGGGCATGAACATTGAACGTCCCTATACGAGCGTTTCTCAAAGCCATACGGGAAGGCTCGGCACGCGGAAACAAAGCACGGGTAGGCCTATAGGCTCGCAGGCTGTGACAAAAAGGTTGGGAGGTAATAAAGATTAAGAATTTACGCGATACGTGTGGAAAACATTAAAGTTCAGTTAAAAAAGTCCTTCTGGACACACAGTTCAGGGGACAACTTGCGAAATTATAACGCTTCCAAAACATACAAATGTAATACAGATCTGCCACGGGCCAAAACTGCGAAAACATCATCTCTGTACAACTCACGACAACTATCACTGACCGACAGATGACTCTTGATTGCCGATTGCTGACTGTTGGAATTTCTCGTTCTTGTCACCTCCGATGTCGCAGCTCTTGACTCGTCCTTTCCACTGGGCAGTCGCCTTTTTGTCACTTCCGACGCTCCAGGTCCTGACTCATCCCTTGCATCACACCGCCCGGCAACTCGTCCAGTGTCTGACTCTTCCATTGTCTTCATCACTGGCTTTCGTGGTTGTCTTTCACGCTTCCTCCCACTTACGCTTGTTGTCACTTCCAGTATCCTCGCCTGTTCGTCTCCTCCCGTACGCATCCTCACCTGGCTGCAAGTGACTCGTCGACTGGGTGTCCCTGGCATTGTCTTCTTCCCTGTATTTATCCATGATGAGACGGGAACGAAAACGTTCGGTTACGAAATCGGCTTACCTGACTGTATGCAATGCGTCGGTGCCGTCACCTTTACTTTCGAAATTAGATAAGCCTCCAATTTTTTAAGAAAAGGGTTTGCTCCCCACACCGGAGCTCGCGCTATTCCGCCGACTTTACTTGACACTTGACTGACTCACGACTGCCATCCAGAGCACACGAGAAGTCCATCGAACCTTCGACTCGGCAAACCTGCAAGAAATCACCACTCCCGAAACACTGTGTATTGAGCAGGGAGTGGTGCTTTCTTAAGTGTAGTACTGTATGTGCGAGTATGGTGTGATGTGTGACGTTGATGTATGTATGTATGTATGTATGTATGTATAACTGATACTCACAAGGTGATCATAGAGGCATTAATCAGCGAGAGAATTGTGAATCGTGAATTGTGACGTTGATAGTGTACTGTAAAACCGGAATGTTTTTGTAATTTTGGATACTGTCAATACATGAAGTTATAACTCAATTTCAAATTTGGACTTAACGGAGAACATGAAGTTATTACTCACTTTATTGTCCTAACAGCAAGGTCGATATATGAAAGGTCCACGATGGGAAAGAAGAAGGACTGGCATCATCATTAAACGTTGAGAAGAATAATCCCACAGAATATGTAGAGCGGATTGACAATGTAATTCGAAATGGCATAGATAAACAGGCAGTTTCCCTCATAACTGATCAATAATGCCCTTAAAAGGCGGGCTAAACATACTTTCGCTGTTGAAAAAGGAATGTTGACATTATGTGGCAAGTGTCAGCCTTTTGGTCGTGCGATCCTTTGGTGATGTCAAGTAGCATGGAACAGAACTGTAGACGAGACTCATGCAGTAGTTAATGACCTCCGGCGATAGCCTTAATGTTGCGAAATTTCGTTCGACTATCATCTACGCACGTTGTTGTATTTTGTTCTTGTGTCGTAGAGTCCAGTGTCTGATGTCATAATAAATGTAGGTTCTGTTGTATTATGATGTAATGCATTACGTAGCCATGCAAGAGCATGCGCGAGATACGCATCTCGCAGCTGCCTACTTTCAAGCAGGATCCTTTAGATGTCGTGGTTCTTATGATTTGCCTACAATGGCCAAGTGAGAATATAATCCTATCGTAAACAACTAACTTGTTTACCCCGAAACATGGTGTCAGAAGTAAACTAAATAAACGCCCTAGAATTGTCGCAGTAGCGCCACCGGTGCAAGAGGTAAAATGGCAGAAGCAGCCGGATTTACCCCGCCGTCGATGGATTGGCAAGCCGCAGATTTACCTGACGAATTCGAGCGGTTCCAACAATACTGCCTTCTAGTTTTCCAAGGGCCCTTTTCCGACAAGTCCGACAAGGAAAAGGTCGCCTATGTCATGCTATGGATCGGGAGAACTGGTGTTGATGCTTTCAATAGTTTCGAGTGGGATAATGCAAGCGACAAATCCAAAGTAGCTGCCGTCTTCAAGAAATTTAATAAGCATTTGCAGCCACGGGTAAATGCACGACTGGCTCGGTTTGAGCTTCAGAAACACCGCCAGGAACCCGACGAGTCTGTAGATGATTTCTTTACGAGGTGTAAGAAGAAGATGTCCAAGTGCAAGTTCAGGGACGCTCAGGAGACTAACGATCGCGTGATAGAACAGCTAATCGTGGGGACGAAGCACTCGAAAGTGCAAGAACGCCTGCTGGAGGGTGGTAGTGGTTTGACTCTGGACGAAGCGCTTGAAAAGGCCCGTACTTATGAAGCAACACAGCGCCACATGGAGCAGCTGTCCACCGCCACCAGCAGCAGCCGTCTACCTGAAACGGTTCACGCCATTTCCAAATCTGTGGGACACGCAGACTGCGGCAAATGTGGACGAACCCACCACCCAAGCAAGTGCCCAGCGCACGGCTCCACCTGCAACAAATGCGGGAAGGCGAATCACTGGGCAAGCGTATGCCGTTCGCAGGGGAGAGACGAGGCACATGGAAGGGGTCAGCAACGCGGACGCTGGCGCCAGAGGAGCCCCAGCCCGCGGGAGCGCTACCCCCAGAGGAGCCCCAGCCCACGGAGACGCTTCGACGCACTGCATTTCGACGCCGTCATCATCGACAGCGTCGAGCGTCACCCACCGCCTCTAGAGCGAGAGGTGTTCGCGACCCTCAATGTCAGCCTGGACAACACCAACAGACCGGCCACCTTGAGAGCCAAGGTGGATACGGGCGCCCGGGGCAATATATTGACGCTGAGAGTGTTCTGCCAAATGTTCCCCCAGCACGTCGGACCATACGGATACCTAAAGCCGAAGTCCGTGAAGCCGTCAAGTACCACCCTCACAGCGTACGGCGGATCCAAGATAAAGCAATGCGGAACCCGTCCTATTCCGTGCTCTACGATGGCAAGAGTCAACTCGCTGACTTCTACATCACGGACTGCCCTGGCACTGCTATCATCGGTCTCCCGACAGCAACAGCCCTGCAGTTAGTCACGCTGAACTGCGCTGTCCAGGAGAAGCCAGCGAGCATCCGAGACAAAGACGACCTGATGAAGCAATACCAGAAGTGCTTCGATGGCATTGGGAAATTCCCAGGCAAGTACCACATCACGGTGGACCCCAACGTCGTCCCGGTTGTACACCCTCCACGCCACCTCCACGCCATCGCACTGAGAGACGAGATCAAAACGGAGCTGGAGGACATGATCCAGAACGGCATCATCACCAAGATCCAAGAAGGCGAACCAACAGCGTGGGTGAACAGCCTCGTGTTCCGCCTCAAAGACAATCGCAAGCTACGCCTGTGCCTAGACCCCAAGGACCTCAATCACGCCATCCTGCGAGAGCACCACGTGGTCTCCACCATTGAGGAGATCACCCCGAAGTTGAGAGGTGCCAAAGTGTTCTCGATCGTCGACGTCAAATGTGGGTACTGGAATGTGGAGCTCGACGACGAATCCAGTTACCTCACCACCTTCAACACACCATTAGGGCGCTACAGATTCCTTCGCATGCCATTCGGCCTCAAGATGTCGCAAGATGTCTTCCAAGCAATGATCGACCAGACGTTCGAAGGGTGCTCAGGCGTCACTGGTATCGCAGATGACATCGTCACATACGGGACGTCAGACGAGGACCATGATCTCAACATGCACCAGATGATGGTTCGCTGCGAACAATCTGGTCTCAAGTTGAACCCAGACAAATGCCGCATCAAAGAGGACAAGATCAAGTTCTTCGGCATCATCTGCAGCACTGACGGAATACAGCCCGACCCGAAGAAGGTCTCAGCGCTGAAGCAGATGGAGCACCCCGAGAACGAGGACGAGCTCCAGACGTTCATCGGGCTTGTCACGTACATGAGCCCGTTCATACCGAATGCCAGTACACTGACCGCGCACCTGCGGGAGCTGACCAAGCCAGATACACCGTTTGCCTGGACAGACAGCCACCAGCGCACCTTCGACAAGGTCAAGGCCGCTATTTCGAGAGAAGTAACGCTCAGTTACTTTGACCCAGGCAAGGCAACGACACTACAAGTCGACGCTTCCATGAAAGGTCTCGGCGCCACTCTGCTGCAGGACGACAAGCCTGTTGCATTCGCCAGCAAGAAGCTTACCGAGACGGAGTCTCGCTACGCCAATATTGAGCGTGAGCTCTAAGCTGTCGTATACGGGTGTGAAAGATTTCACACCTACCTATTCGGTCAGTCATTCACAGTAGAATCCGACCACAAGCCGCTGGAGTCAATCAAGCTCAAGCACCTCCGCGCAGCCCCGCCGCGTCTACAGCGCATGCTGCTGAAGCTGCAGCCATACAACATGACCATCAAGTACCGCCCCGGAAAGGACATTCCGATCGCAGACGCACTATACCGACTGTCGCCAGAGGAAACAGAGCCAATTGAGGACCTCTACGTCAGTGTACACGCCGTGTTCCCGCAATTCAGCGATGCAGCGATGATGAGGATCCGCGAGGAGTCGGCTAAAGACGCCGAGATGTCAGCACTGAAGGAGATGATCTTCAGTGGCTGGCCATCAGAGAGGAGCGCGGTGCCGGCAATTCTGCTCCCGTACTGGAATTTCCACGACGAGATGAGCACCGAGGACGGTCTCATCCTGAAGAGCAGTCGCGTCCTGATTCCCCCGCCAATGAGGGGGAAAACCCCGCTATGCAGCATCTGATGGTACTGTGGTATTCAGTAAAAAAAAAAAAAAAAAAAAAAAAAAAGCTGCACGCCAGCCACCAATGCATAGAGAAGACCAAGCTGCGAGCCAGAACGTCCGTCTTCTGGAAGGACATCAACAAGGATATCGAAGCAACTGTCTCATCTTGCACGACGTGCCAGCGCCACCAGAGCAGTCAAGCCAAGGAACCACTGGTGCAGCCCGATATTCCGCCAAGGGCATGGCACACCTTAGGCACGGACCTGTTCTACCTCGGCGGGTCAGAATACCTCATTGCCGCCGACTACTACTCCAAGTACTTTATCACCCGGAAGCTGCCTGCCGGACAAGCGACCAGCAGGGCCATCATCCAGCACCTCAAGGAGATTTTCGGTGAGCACGGCATCCCAGCCGTGCTGAAGTCGGACAACGGGCCGCAATACAGCAGCCATCTGTTCGCGGAGTTTGCTGCCGAATATGGATTCCGCCACAGTACGTCGTCGCCACATCACCCGCAGAGTAACGGGTTTATAGAATCGCAAGTAAAGATCGCTAAGAGAGCTCTCGAGAAGGCAAGGGAGAGCAGGACCGACCCGCACTTAGCACTGCTGTGCATTCGCGCCACCCCAGTGTGCCAGGGCTTACCGTCGCCGGCCGAGATGCTGTTTGGTCGTCAGGTACAGGACAGCCTGCCTCGCAAACACCAGCGCGACACTCGGGACGAGGCCATCCGACAGAAGCTCGAGGAACGGCAGGACCAGCAGAAAGTACACCATGACCAGCGAGCGCAGTCTCTCCGCCCCCTAGTTCCTGGTCAGCACGTTGGCATCCGCAGCCCGACCACGCACCTGTGGAAACCTGGTATCGTAACCCAGTCTGTCAACGGGCCACGGTCGTACATGGTGCAGCCTGACCATGGGACAGAAGTGCGGCGCAACCGTACCCACCTCAGAGAGAGGCGGGTCCACTTCCCGCCGGATGCCAGTCTCGCAGGCCCTCAGCTGCCGAGTGACGTGCCGTCGCCGTGGAGCGACGTTAGCCAGTCTCAGCCGCCGTCACCGTGGGACGTCAGCCAGCCTGCTGAACCTGCCACCCAGCTGTATCGAACACGGTCTGGCCGCGCAGTCGCACCGAGGTCAATCCTGGATGTGTAGGGCCAGAGAGGCCTCATGGACCTGTTCGCTTATGTCACAGTAGCTGAGGTGCCATTGGTATATTGTACATAGAGCTATTGTTGGATACTATGTCTCTGTATTGTTAGCATGCCGTCGTGTGCCATTCATGATTGTTACCTTGGACATAGAGCTATTGTTGGATGTTATGTTCTATATTGTGAACACGCCGTCATATACGTACGGTATGTTATGTAGGTTGTTAAACTCCTTTATGACGAAGGGGATGTTGTATTATGATGTAATGCATTACGTAGCCATGCAAGAGCATGCGCGAGATACGCATTTCGCAGCTGCCTACTTTCATGCAGGATCCTTTAGATGTCGTGGTTCTTATGATTTGCCTACAATGGCCAAGTGAGAATATAATCCTATCGTAAACAACTGTTTACCCCGAAACATGGTCCAGTGTCTTATGTCATAATATATGTAGGGTCCAGTGTCTAATGTCATATATGGTATTGTAGTAATAATATAAGACCTGTTTGGCATACAATAATCCGTACGCAGACTTATGACTGTTAGCATGGCTCAGTGGAAGGTTGACCGTTGGAACGGCACGAACAACTTGAGATCGGCGGCCATTCAGCATGGGATTTTCGAGGGGGACTCAATATCCGCACTGCTGTTCGTTATCTTCCCCATACGACTACTCCGTTCAGCTCTTAACGGCCACAACATCATCAGATCCATCAACACCTGGGCTGTGGCTTTGATATGGTATAGTGCTGGTAACTTGGCATAGACGCAGGACGAGTTGAAATCTGCTGACCTGAGAACGCGCAAGCTTATGACTATGCATGGAGCTCTCGATCCACGCGCTGATATAGCCCGTAAGTACGTCAGTCGCAAGAGGGTGGACGTGGTTTGCAAAGATTTTGTCACCATGGAGAAAAGTAATTTGCAGCGTTATGTGCTTCAGTCAGATGCGGAACTCGTGAAGCTTGCTTCACGAGTTCAACGACGAAGAATACAACGTCGTCCTTTTTGATTTAGGCTTACATTTCGCCTCCACAAAGACAAAGCGCAACATCAGATAGAACAATTCGTAATAGGTAAGTTTTACTGCGTCGTTGCCATTGGTGTCGTCGATGTCGCTGAAATAATCGTGTAACAGGTGCCTTGTGCTGCACCTGACGTTGGAGGCTGTCCTTCTTTCGCTGTTTCAGCACTCCGTCTGTCAAGCGCAGCACTCGACATGTGCGGCTGAAGAGCCCCGCGTGCCACTCCTCCTGCATTTTTGCATCGACATAGAATGCAGATAGCAGGGGCGACGGAACTTCACTACTGATGATTTTCCAATCGATGTTCTCCTTTCCGCGTCCCTCGAAGAGCGGACGGAACATGCGCAGCCATAATCCATGTGAATGCTGAATATGCGCAGTGTAAGTTTGGTCTGGGAATGAGAGTCGTGTGTGATTGGTCATTTTTTCTGTACGTATTGGTCCCTGATTGGTCGTCACAATTTGAATACAGGCGAACCCCCGGTTTTCCCGGAAAAATCCCGGGAAATCAACTACTACTCTATAATGTTAATCACACACTCTTTTGGTTAGAATTTTCCTTTTATGGTTTTCGGGTTTGCATTTGTCACATTCCTGAAAGGTACGAGTGCTGGCTGATAGTCCTGTGACAGCAGGATCTACATAGTGAGCATCTCTGTGCTGAGCTGGCACGCCCTTTTTTATTAAGATGTGGTTTGGCCAGTGTCTTGTCCCACGTGCTTAGCATGTAGGTTGAGCGACACCCGCTTTCCCACGTAGGTGACACCCCTTCTTGCCATGGCATATCATGTGACCCAACGCCGGAACCTGGTCAGGTAGGTTCTCGCGTTGTACGTTTCCTGGAAGTGCTTCACTTCCTGGAAATGTGTCTCCAGGCTTTGTGCAAAACCACATCACAACGACGTTCTACAGGGTTCCGCGATGCCTCCTTGCTTCGTGCAAGGAGGCAAGATTAACATGACATTGTATAACAAGAGCTAAGTGCAAGAGAGGAGACCTGTGCAAGAACCAAAACCGTCACCGCGCAAGAGGTCAGAGTATCACGCAAGAGGGACCAAGAATGCAGCAGAACTTACCATAAGAAGCCGCTGAACTATGGCACGTTGGGTGGGCGGGCTCCCCAACGTGACCCTCATATACTAACATTGTACACTGACGTGCGTGAGCGGGCTCCCCACGTCCCAATTTGGTCTTTCTTCTCCATGTCTTTCTTTCTCTTTCTTCTCGAATGATAACGTATGTGCATTCTGCTTTTCTGCTGACTGGCTGCTCCTATTCCAGTTTAACCTGTTCTAGTATGACCTGGAAATACCTCGATTTTTGTAATGTGTGTGCGCGCATATGTTCTTAAAATATTAGTAAAATAGAGGTCCGATCATGGTGAACCACGCTCCAATTTTTGATGTTTAGCAGAAGTGCAAATACGCTATAGCCATGCAAGCCGTATCAGTAGGTTCCTGGTCACATCTAGTTTCTTATCTTTAGACATAGAGAAGTACAGGAACAATAACTTTAATGCATGGTACTAGTAAAAATAATAATTTGTGAGATCCGTGCGCGCGTGCAGTGTGTGTATGTGTGTATGTGTGTGTGTGTGTTTTCTCCCTCAGTCATTGTTTATCCTTTTTCTTTTTCTTTTTTCCTCCACAAGGACGCGGGATTCTTTTTCATGGAGGGGTGGTATGTTAGGCCCACAATTCATTAGTTCATATTCATTAGTTCATGCAATTTTCATTTGGCCTGGGTAGCTACTTGCGCGCCCATATTTGCCATAGCTACCCAGGCCCTTTATATTGCGTTGTTCCGCAGTCGAGCTCTCTCTCTCGCGCGCCACTCTCACTCGAATGATTGAAGATCTGCCACAAATCTCGATTTGTTCCGTCGGCTGTTGTATGTTTTCAACATATTCTAACCAATGATCACGCCATATATCTCTAAATTGCGCTATAAAAGAAGCTCTCGCTCTCCCTTACTCTTACTCTCTTACTGCAGGCGAGACTCGGTCTCAGCTTTCTGTCTTGGTTTACTTTGAGCTCGGATTTGAATGACTACTCACAATGTAAAACTAACATTCTTTGTCTGTTGATCGTGTGGGGTTGAACTTGGACCAAGCCAGCTATATTGGTTGGCCCCTGGGTTGTGCTGGGCTTGTCGTGAGGCCACACGTCTATTCAGTCGCCGCTTGTAGTGATTCTTGGGTCCGGTCACTGGGAGCCAGGGATGCGACACATTAAATTTGTATTGCATTTTCATCCATTGTGTTTCTTTCGACCATAAAAGAGGCTTCATACACTACTCTCGGTGTCCCTGGGATTTCAAACCAAAACTCCCGGTAAAGTGACGTTTTTGTGTTTGATAAAGAATGTTCCTGAAAACTCCATGCATAACCCTCGACTGTCCCTTTTTTTCTTCAAAAAATCACGCTGCGCACTTGCACTTCCAACAAGAGTTCGGGTTGCTGTGTGGAGGGGGCCAGTGGGAAAAAACGCTAGTTCCATTTCACTAAGTCCCCAACCAAAAAGCAATGGGATCTCCTGCTACAGCCGGCAGTAACTGGGTACCGTGAAGAGGTGAAACCGTAATTAGTTGGATGTAAAGGGTTACGTGCATTGGACACCTTGATAGCAGCGCACAGTAAATGGAGCAGCAAATTTTCGTATATTTATAGAGCTGCCCTACAGTGCGTAATGCAAAATCACGTATCCCTCTCTAACTTACAAATGTTCTATAGTTTTAGGAAACGTGGAACGAAGATTATAATTATGGCCTTTATATTACTAATTGAATCCATGAGTCATTCGCCCTTTGTGGATAATTTTCTAAAACAATAACAGATTCTGCTTGAAAAGCATTGACATTTCCAGAACCTTCATAATTATAGCTACCCGAACTACTCGCGGCTCAACAACTCATAACATGAGTATCAATCGCTATAGATCTATGTCTGCCTTTCTGTCCTTTTCAAGTAATTCGGCTCTTGTTTTGAATTACTGACCAGACGACCTGAAGTCCTGCACTTCTATCGCAGATTTCCGCGTCAAATTGGCTAAAAGACAGCTTAACTCTTAAAATCATTGTTCTGATTTGCTTTCAAGCAATGTGCATAATCAGTGAATTGATGTTGCTGTTTTTGTTTTGTTTTTTGGTTTCCCGTTCTCGGGGCCTTCTATTCGGTACTCTTTGAAAAAACTAGCAAGGACTTCCGTTACTTCTGCTCCATTTCTTCAAGTCCATAACAAAATGGGGTTGCCAACATACCTTTTGCCAACATACCCTTCTCCCTGCTTTGCCGTGGTTGGCTAACACCCTCTCTCTTTGTATTGGCCGGTGTTCTCACTGTGCTATGAGATGCTGTAATAAATAAATAAATAAATAAATAATTCAAACAGTAGTTTGGAGGCGGTGGGAAATAACAAAAATATTTAAACGAACCATAAAAAACGGGTTTTTATACCTTTTCTAACGCCATGATCCGCCAAAGACTATGAGTCCCCGTTTAGTTATACTGTTTAACGTAATATTCAGTTAGTTCTCACGGAATTTGTAACAATTCAAGCCAGTATATTGTCATGCGTGGGTGGTTCATCGTTTTTCTGCAGTGTCGAAAATGCATCGTTAGAAATTGCGTTTTCTTAGCTTTTCAAGTTCAACATACCTCATGCTTGACAATAGAAGAAAAATGCCTGAGACTATATGTTACAGTGGTGTGTGTGAACTGTGCAACCTAACCCAGTTGCATATGAATCATGTTGTGGTTAGGAGTCTAGGTTATTTCTGAAAATAGGGTCATGATTCGGCCTTATAGATTAGAACCACTACATCCTAGAATCTGTGTTTTGTGCACCACCCGGAACTATGCAAGAACAACATTTTCCTTGTGCTTTTTCGTTTGTAGATTATTGTACAATAATCAGATCCAGAATTTAAGTGACGGTGTGTTCTCTGGTCTAACAAACCTCCAAGAACTGTAAGTATTCT